TGTGTTTTATTAATGTCTACCCTCACAGTATACTTTAAAAAACTGTAATTATATCAAGAATCATTTAACCCAAACCTAAACCTACCCCTCACTATAATGTAAAAAAAAAAAAAAACAGACTTTACCATCTGCGTGTGTTTGTGTGTGATTGAGACAGAGCCATCTGTGTGTTTTGGCCACTGTTGTGCAGACAGCGGCTGCAGTGTGTTGACCTCTGTTTGTTTTTCCTCTTTTCTCGTCTGTCTGCTTGTTTCTGGTTGACTGAGGTGTGTGTGTGATTGAAACAGAGCCACCTTCATCTTGTCAGTGTGAAGCCAATAAAATGCTGCACAGCAATTAGACCGAGCACCGTTTGTGCTAAAGAGACTGTTTTCCAGCTTGCTGTCAGTAATGGTTGTCTAATAAACCTGCATTGTGTATCCGTGCATTGTTGTTTTTTAGACAAATGGCTTTTGTTTCTGTTGTGTAGTGTTATGCTGAATGCCTAATTGTTCACGGAAAGTGTAAATACCATGGGAAACTTTTCTGGATGATGTCATGTATTGCACTTTTGTTGATCTGATTGCTTTGATTGTACTAATTTTGCAATTTGCATCAGATAAAAGTGTCTGGTAAATGATTAAATGTGAACGTAAGTGCATAGGGAGAATTTGATTACAAATGTTATTGCTCTGAATGACAATGGATTTATGAGCACATTATACACACTATTGAGAGTGTATTCATGTGTGATATATCTAGAATATTTTATATTGTAAATTCAATGATTATAATAACAACAACAATAATAAAATTAAACATATATATTTAAATAATTATACTACTACTACTACTACTACTAATAATAATAATTATTATTATTATTATTATTATTTTTTTTAGTAGTAGTAGTAGTAGTAGTAGTAGTATTAGTATTATTATTCATTTATTCATTCGTTTTATTGATATAATGTAACACTACTTGGCATTTACTCTAATTATTCTAATTACTAGTATTCTAAGTATTATTCTTATTAGTCATATTATTATTCATATTATTATTAATAACAATCATAATAATCATAATTTTATTAATATAATTATTTTTATTATTGTTGTTTTTAATAATATCTATAATAAAATTATTATTGTTGTTATTATAAAAAATCTATGTTAAATATAAAAAGCTGAATAAAAATATGATTATTTATATGATATTATATCTGTAATATTCCTAGGCTACATTTAAATTGAACATTTACTCTAACTATTCTTATTAGTATCAATAATAACAACAATATAAATAATAATAATAATAATTGTCATCATTATTATTATTAATATTATCGATAATATTATTACTGTTATTGATTTTATTATTTAAAAATATTATGATAATATTAATATAAAAATAAGCTGAATAAAAATATGATTATTAAAATATTATATGGGTAATATTACTAGGCTACATTTAAATTGAACATTTATTTTAATTATACTATTATTATCATTATTATTATTATTATTATTAACTAACATTTATTCTAATTCGTATCAATAATAATAATATTAATAGTAATATCTATAATATTATTATTGTCATTGTTGTTATTATTTTAAAAATATAATAATATTATTATTATTAAATACAATAAGCTGAATAAAATATGATTATTAATATAATATTATTATATGTGTCCTTTTACTAGGCTACATTGAAATTGAACATTTATTCTTCTGTTTAGTATTCATGATAATAATAATAATAATAATAATAATAATAATAATAATAATAATAATAATAATAATAATAATAATAATAAAAATAAAAATAAAAAAATAATAATAATAATGTAAAGTGATATTTTATTATTATTACTTAATAAATATAAAAAACTAAATACAAAGACATTATATAATATTAAGTAATATTAATAACAATTACTTAATTAATCATTCATATTCCTTAAATATTTCCAACTAATAATTGCAATTAATTAATTTTAAAAACTGTAAAATGAACAATAATATTTGTCACACGTAATCTCTCCATTTTCAAACAACCTTCAAGCTTGTAGTTTTGGGAATTTAATACATCCTTAAATTTTAACCAGCACATAAAGAAATGATTATTAGAGTGTATTGGACCAATAGAGCAAATTACACCAACTGCAGCAATTTTTCTCAAAGTGTAGGCAAAGCCATTGCTACACACCAGCGAAAGTCATTTGCGATTTCTCTGTCCTCCCGCTGGTGCACCAGACAGAATCTGTTAGACCGACATCTGAAGGTCCAGCTGTATGGGTGACTGCAGTCATTTTAGAAATGAATAAATGAGCATCGAGAGGCATCTCATCCATTAGGAGGAGCGATTTGTCAACACGGCCCAGTCTCAGAGGAGCCGTCGGAGGAAGACCATGTGGAGAAAAAAAAGAAAAGCGGAGAGCTGGGCATCTCTGTTTGTGATTATCAGATGAGCTCTGAGTCCTGGAGCCTCTTCAGAATCTGGGTCAGGCAGAACCACGTCTGACATCTCTCTCTTTCTCTCTGTCCCTCTACGCCTTCTGTAATTCCAGCCGTGAAATTCCCCCGAAAAAAAAAAAAAATATATATATATATACGATAACTCAAGAATCATCTCCCTGGCTGTCCCTCATTTGGCCTATTTTCTCTCTCGTATTGTTTCTCGTTTAATCTGTTTTTCCTCAGTGTGCTGCTGCAGAACTTGTGGTGTTTCTGGAAACTTTGGGAACTTCATATATTATGTGTGAGATGGACTGTTTCTTTTTCTGGAGGAGAAGAAGGACGACACAGTGCAGACAGTGATTGATTGACAGACAGAGCTAAATGAGGAGGATTTCTGCAGTTTTTTTTTTATTATGATCATTATCGTGGTCACACTCGTGGACTCTGCAGTGTTACACTAACACAAAAATCTGCACCTGAATGCATTTTAAGCTAAAAAATCTTGTTCTGTGTATTGTATCAATCTCTTTAGTTACATGAAGTGGACGTGTAACGTTTTGTTCAGATTCTCCCACTTATATATGTTTCAAACAAAAGAATGCTAGCCATATTATAGATATATAGCCATATCGCACTGCTACAAGTGTGATACTGCGTTTATACAACAGCTTGACGGCATTATTGTGGGTTTAAAAAAGAAGATCAAACCCTTGACAGTCTCAAAACCCTTTTGGATGAGGAACTACTTTCTTCCACCATTCATTCACATCTGCAGCTGACAACAGAACAGCAGAAAATTACTTCACCAACATCACTTTAGAGCTAGTATTTGATTTATTCTCTAGTCTAATGTCTAAAGTGAAGACGAAACGGGTGATTTTGCTCAAATTTTAAGATTATAAAGCTGAACGGCATGAAAAGCCATCAGTCTACAGAGATTTTTCAGTATTTCTCTGATGCAATGGGGAGATCACAATAATTAACTCTGAAAAAGCTAAAACAAAGCAAATGCTAGCAGATTAGTATGTTATAAATACAGCACTACAACATGCAAAAGAGAGAGAGATCGACTTAAAATGTCACTTACCAGTTCTATAATGATTTGATCAGCTGTAGGTTGAAATACAAAAGGAAAGATACAAGTTTTTCACCCCTAAGAACTTATTATGTGGTCTCTGTCGCCATCTTGTGATGCAGCCATCTTTGCTCTGCTCAGTATGACAGGCTGATGGCCGCCAAAGCATTGAATCTCTGAAATGATAAATATTTAAAATAGGCACTTTCCTTTTTAATAAACTGCATAGTTGCAATCTATACAACTATATTCTCGACTAAAATAGCCACATAAGTACATTCTGGTGTCCAACAGCTGTCATATTTGTCAAACTGTAGTGAGCTGCTGCTGTAGTGTATTGATCTGCTGTCACTCTATGTGGGCAGAGTAATACAGAAGGGTGAGGAGGCTGTACAAGTTCTGATACTGCAGAATATCAGACGGCTATCAGCCAATCAGATTCAAGAACTAGACAGAACTGTTTATATATATATATATATATATATATATATATATATATATATATATATATATATATATATATATATATATATATATATATATGAATTATATATATATTATTATATACATATGCTAGTATTATAATAAATAAAATAATAAAAAAAAATAAAAAAAAATAAAAAAATAATAATATAAATAAATATATAAAAGTGGGTTTTCTCCCTCAGTCTGTTGTTCTCTTGTTCCATCTATTGTTCTCTTGCCCTGGGTGTTTTATTATTCCTTCTGTTGTTCTCTCATTCGCTCTATTGTTCTCTCCTTCGCTCTCTTCTTCCCTCCTTTAGTCTGTTGTTCTCTCGTTCCGTCCATTGTTCTCTTGCCCTGTCTGTTCTATTATTTCTTCTGTTGTTCTCTCATTCCATCTTTTGTTCTCTTGCTCCACCTGTTCCCTCATTCTGACTGTTGTTCTCTCCTTTGATCTGTTCTCTCCTTCGGTCTGTTGTTCTCTCATTACATCTTTTGTTCTCTTGATCTGTCTCCATCCATCCACCCATTCATCCATCTGTCCTTCCATTTGTTAATCCATCTATCGATCCATATGTTCATCTGTCTGTCTGTCTGTTTGTCTATTTATCTATCTATCTGTCTGTCCATCCGTCTGTTCATCCATCTGTTCATCCATCCATCCATCCATCCATCCATCCCTCCATACGTTCATACATCTGTCTGTCTGTCTGTCTGTCTATCTATCCATCTGTCCATCCATCCATCTATCCATCCATCCATCCATCCATCCATCCATCCATCCATCCATCCATCCATCCATACAAACATTTATCTGTCTGTCTGTCTGTCTGTCTGTCTGTTTTGTATATCTATCTATATATGCTACTAAAACGCAGTTTCTAGAGAATTTTGCAGTTGTGCATATACTCAAATTGTATGATTTTGCATGCAGAGCTATTACAAAACAATAAAGGCAACAAACAAAAAAAAAAACTCTAACAGCAGTGTGTGTTTGTGTTTGTGTGTTCTTCAGGCAAACCAGCTTACCTCCACATAGGAGAGGAGGTGGACGGTGTGGACATGCGGGCAGAGGTCGGACTGCTGAGTCGCAACATTTTAATCAGAGGCGAGATGGAGCCAAGCTGTTACGGCAATGAAGCCTGCAAGTTCTTCTCCTTCGACACATTCGGTGGACATCTCAAGGTAATTTGACCCTTCTGTTACTTCAGACACCCAATTCTCTACTGAAAACCACCAACAGTTGTCTTGTTGTACCTGCGTCCGGTGGCTCATCTACACACAATGTTCACACCCTTAGAGTGAGTTATTGCAGCGACGGCACCTCTAGCTAGACATTAACACTCTGTCAAACAAGCAGAACAGACTTTTTTTTTTGGCTTTAGCTCCTGCAATGTGCCTGTCAGTGTGTGTGTGTGTGTGTGTGTGTGTGTGTGTGTGTGTGTGTGTGTGTGTGTGTGTGTGTGTGAATGTGATGGGGCGACTCAAGCGTCTGACCTCTCTAGTAATTGGCCCAGATCTGACTGTTCCTTTCCCCTCCTCACCTTCGCTGTCATGGAGAAGGTTGGCCCGTTTCAAGAAGACTTTTTTTTTTTACATGCAACAACTAGGTCATGCTGTCTTTCATGTGGTGAGGAAACTAATTTTGTCAAAAGCTGCCTCACACTAATGATTGTAGAGCAGGTATGTGTTCAAATGAATTAATTGTTGAATTCTGGAGAAAGAATAACACATCTAACAATCAAAATTCTCACATTATCAGACATCCCACCTCCCCAGCGTGTTCATAGTGGCTTCCTGATGGCTGAAAATTAGACATCACAGAAATCATGGAGGCAAGAGGGAGCGAAAATTAGATACGATATCACGGAAATCATTGAGGCGAGCGAGCGAGAGCAAGAGAGTATATAGTGATGTAGCAAGCCTTAAATTACACCAAAAGAGCAGTAAAGTACACTTAGAAATAAAGGTACGCGAGCTGTCACTGTGGTGGTACCTTTTTAAAAGGTACACATTTTTTCTTGAAGGGTCTATATTGGCACCTCAAAAGTATATTAGTACCTTAAAAATTGAAGAGGAACACTTTTATACTTTTAAGGTACTAATATGTAACTTTGAGGTACCAATATGGACCCTTTAAGTACAAATGTGTATCTGTTGAAATGGTAACACCCCAGTGACAGCTTGCGTACCTTCATTTTTGAGAGTGGTGCAGAGATGGCCAAACTAGGACCTGCTAGCCCAAGTTGGCCTATGATAACCTTTGATTTGGCTTGCCATCCCATCTCAGAAGAGCGGGAAAATAAGGGGGAGGTTTGGGGGGAATGCCCCAAGCAGAGATCGTCATTTTGAATTGAACGTAATATTTTTTGTTTCATTGTTTTACTGCTGAGCTACAAAAAGAGCAAACTGAAATAGTTTCCATTTAACGAATCAGATTTGGGCGACATGGTGGCTCAGTGGTTAGCACTGTAACCTCACAGTAAGAAGGTCACTGGTTCGAGTCCTGGCTAGGCAAGTTGGTATTTTGGAGAAAGAATAGCACGTCGAATAACCAAAATTTTCCCATTATCAGACATTCAACCTCACCAGCTATTTATAGTGGCTTTCTGATGGCTGAAAACTAGATACAATATCACAGAAATCATGGAGGCAAGAGGGAGCAAGCGAGAGCAAGAGAGTATATAGTGATGTAGTAAGCCTTAAATTACACCAGAAGAGCAGTAAAGTACACTTAGAAATAAAGGTATGCAAGCTGTCACTGCCGCAGTGGTACCTTCAAGAACATTTGTACTTGAAGGGTCATATTGGTACCTCAAAAGTATATATTAGTACCTAAAAATTTAAGAGGAACACTTTTGTACTTTTTAGGTACTAATATGACCCTTTCAGTACAGATGTGTATCTTTTGAAATGGTATAACCCCAGTGACAGCTTGCGTACCTTAATTTCTGAGAGTGGTGCAAAGATAGCCAAACTAGGACCTGCAAGCCCAAGTTGGCCTATGATAACCTTTGATTTGGCTTGCCATCCCATCTCAGAAGAGCGGGAAAATAAGGGGGAGGTTTGGGGGGAATGCCCCAAGCAGAGATCGTCATTTTGAATTGAACGTAATATTTTTTGTTTCATTGTTTTACTGCTGAGCTACAAAAAGAGCAAACTGAAATAAATTGTTTCCATTTAACGAATCAGATTTGGGCGACATGGTGGCTCAGTGGTTTGCACTGTCACCTCACAGCAAGAAGGTCACTCGTTCGAGTCCTGGCCAGTTGATATTTTGAAGAAAGAATAACACGTCTAATAACCAAAATTGTTCCATTATCAGACATTCTGTACTGTAGTATTTCTCACAAACATTACGTGAGATCTGCTTCCTTCATGTCTGTCTGTTGTCTGAAGCAGCCGAGGGAGCAGATTGAGGCACGCTGAAAGGCACGTGGTAAACGGTGGGAGGGGAGGACTAGCCTTAAAGACACAGTACACATAAACAGCAACTAGCTGTTTAGAGCTATAAAATACAAACTACTGCGAGCTATAATAAATAATCAGATGGTTCTAGAGCTGAAACTTATATTTAATTGACACTTATATTACATTTGGAAAAAGAGGTAAAATAGTTGCCTTTTAAAAAACTAGGCGAAAATACAAATTTGTTGTTTCATTCATTTATTCCTTCGGCTTAGTCGCCTTTTGGGTCCCACTTTATATTAAATGTCCCTAACTACTATGTACTTACATCAAAAAATAAATACAATTTACTTACTGTGTTTATAATGTATTTGAGGACACTTGTGGTGCTTTTGAGTTGGGATATAGGTTGGGTTATGGACAGGTTTGGTGGTATGGGTAGGTTTAAGGGTGGGATGAGGTGTAAGGGATGGTCAACAGTGTATTTACAAATGTAGTTACAAAAGTTAATTACAGATGTAATTACATACATGTATTTTATCAAGCACAAGTACACAGTAAATACATGTATTTACACAATAAGTCCATTGTAACAAACTATTAAATCCTATGTAAGTACATATTAGTTAAGGCCACTTAATATAAAGTGGGACCGCCTTTTGTATCAGGGGTCACCACAGTGGAATGAACCGCCAACTCTTCTGACATATGTTTTACGCAGCAAAAGCCCTTCCAGCCGCAAACCAGTGCTGGGATACTCTCTCAATCACACACACACTCATACACTGGGGTAAACTGGAGCACATTGAGGAAACCCATGCTAGCATGGGGAGAAAATGCAAACTCCACACAGAAATGCCAGCTGACCCAGCCGAGGCTCGAACCAGTGACCTTTTTGTTGTAAGGTGATTGTGCTACCCACTGCACCACCGTGACAACGTTTGTTTGTTTCAGTCTCACTAAAATAATAAAATAAAAGCAATCCCTGAATTCTTCACTCTGTTAAATTTTGCAGAAGTCTCCATTCTGACTTTTACAGATAATGATATTAATATCCGTCCTGGGTGATCTGATCTCAAGCGGTCACAGAGTCCATGTAAGCCGCACACCTTAATATTGAAATCCGAGATATGAAACTGGAGAATGGAGATGAAAGAACGTCAGAAGTGAGAAATATAAATATCGTCACCCTTTCAGAAGAAGAGCGGAGACATGTGAATGTATGCACGGGCGCGAAGTGAAGGTGTCGGCGAGATTGATTTCTCCTCTTCTCTCATTCAGCTCTCTTTCAGATTTCATGGCTGCCTCTTTTGTGACCTACATCAGATCGCTTCAACTCAAAGGCTGTGAAATATGTTGCACATCATCTTTGTGCGATGCAAGTGAAACTAAGATGATTTGACGTTTCCCTGGGGGGCAAACTTTGGCTCCAATTAATGTCTTTCATCCGTTGGAGAGCCACGTGTACGCTTTCACCCCGGTCTGACATTTCTCTAAATGTTTCATAATTTAAATTAGCTGCCTGGTGAATATCATAAGAATGTGACAGCGCGGTCTCGAAAGGCGGTTTTTATGACCTCCCTTGTGGTTAAAGACGATAAACACAATTTCAAATCTTCCGATCGGGTGTTTAGTGTGTCAGCGGGTTCACTGATCTAAACAAGCAGTGTTTTCCAATGGGTGTGAGTGTGTGTGAAGAGCATTTTTTTACATGCTGACAGCCTTCGTGCATTTACTGTACTCGTTCTAGATAACGAATACTATTGAATAATCTTATGTCATCACTGACAGTACTATATGCTCGCAATGTACAGAAAAAGTCTTCTGAGCTTAATTTTTATTTTAATCACTTGCATTATCAACACACATGGCCACTTTATTAGGTACACCTTACTAGATAAATCACGCTTTATGACATGGCGCATTATCCTGCTGGAAGTAGCCATCACTAGATGGTACACTGTAATCATAAAGGGATGGACATGGTCAACAACAATACTCGGGTAGGTTGTGGCGTTGACTCGATGCTGACGTTAGATGGCGCTAAACAACTTTAAGCTTCTGACACCCGCTTGTAAAACAGAAGAAAAATACAGATAGTTGACAGGCATGGATGGTTCAAGCAGCAGCTCCAGCTCTAGCGATAGAGAAATGATTATTGTTCACCAGAGCAATAAGCAGCTCCGCGTTCTTATCGCCTCTGAGCATCTTCTTCAATGTGCGCTCGCATTGACAGTTTTGCGCTTGAGCGCCTACAAGTGCTGTTTACTGTAAATTCAGCAGCTCCGTGCACGTGAAAAAAAAAAGTGCCAATCTGATTGGTGGAGAAGGCTGCGTCAAAACAAAAAGAAACGAGGACGAGGCGTTTCTTTAAAAATGATGTTTTTACATCTGCTGTTTTGCACGTTGGTGTGCACTGGCCTTAAGAATCTAAATTTGGAGAAACAAAAGTTATGTAATAGAACAGTGGCCAACCCTGTTCCTGGAGGGCCATCTGCAGATTCCTGCAGATTTCAGTGGCAGCCCATTTCAAACACACCTGCCTGTAATTATCACTAATTAATTAATTGGTTCAGGTGTGTTTGATATGGGTGGCAACTGAAATCTGCAGGAAGGTGGCTCTCCAGGAACAGGGTTGGCCACCCCTGCAATAGAAAATTAAAGCAAATATGAAGTTTTTAAAGACTTTCAATATAGAGTATGTGCTTGTAGAAAGAAGTACAAAGTATAATTAAAGCTGCAAGCAGCGATGATAGGGACCTCGCACCCGGGCTCAC